TTTTTTTTTTTCAAAATACTATTTTGACCATGTTATTCATACTGTCATAATTCCCAACTAAATATTTAATTTACAAACTAAACATTTAATTTCTAGGGTAAACATTTATATTTCCTAAAATAAATATTTAATTTGCTAACTAAATATTTATTTTCCAAGCTAAATATTTAATTTTAAACTAAACATTTAATTTCTAAGATAAACATTTAATAGCAGCCATCCATTATCTTTTACCAGCTTCTTCCATTTTGGGTCATGGGGGTCGCTGGTGCCCATGCCCAGCAATCACTGTGCGAGGGGCGGGGTACACCTTGAACAGGTCACAAGTCCATCACAGGGCCACATAGAGACAAACGAGACAACCAACCGTTCACTCTCTCACTCACACCTAGGGACAATTTAGAGTTACCAATCAGCCTAACATTCATGTTTTTGGTCAGTGGGAGGAAACTGGAGTACCTCGAGAAAACCCACACATGCACAGAGAGAACATGCAAACTCCACCTAGAAAGGCCCCTGGACCGGGGTTTGAACCGGGGACCTGCTCACTGAGAGGCATCAGCTCTACCAGTTGTGCCACTGTGCTGCCTTTTAGTTCCTAAACTTAATATTTAATTAGCTAAGTAAAGATTTAACTCATCTAAATATTTAACTTGCAAGCTAAATATTTAACTTGCAAGCTAAATATTTATCTTGCGTTAAATATTTAGCTTGCAAGTTAAATATTTAGGGCAGAGTTAAATATTTAGTTAGCAAGTTACATATTTATTTTGGAAATTAAATGTTTAGCTTAGAAATTAAATGTTTAGTTTGGAAATTAAGTATTTAGCTTGGACAATAAATATTTAGTTTGGAAATTAAATGTTTAGTTTTGAAAATAAATATTTAGCTTGGAAATTACATATTTAATTTAAATCTAAATATTTAGTTTACTAACTAAATATTTAATGTGTAAGTTAAGTATTTAGTTTGTAAACTAAATATTTAGCTTGTAAATAAAATATTTAGTTTGGAACTATGACATTTATAAATTTATGAATAACATGGTGAAAATATGACTTTGAAAAATAAAATGTTTTTTTTTTCTTATTAAAGACAAAATAAATCAAAATAGTGCTGTTAATTTTTTGACTGTGTAACTGTACAAACGGCACCCCATACTTGTCTGTGTGGGTTATGTGTGTACTTTATTCTGTTGGGAAAATATCACAAAACACTGAATTGTATATTTTACTTTCAAAAAGTAATCCTTATGAGTACAAAATAAATTAACTTTTAGAGTCAAAACTCTTCAAGATGGCCACCACAGCTAATCGAACTTCACAAACACAAAAATGATTATAACTCTTATTGAGCATGCATCAGGATATTATAACTCTTAGTTTTACAGATACTGAGTTGTTTTGTGTGTGGTAGTAGCTGACAGTCATCTTCAAAACAATTCAACAAGTCTCTGAGTGCACACACAAAATGTCAAACAGCATCACACACATCATTTATGGGGTTACAAAACAAAACAGCTACAAACATGAAAGCTGGCAGAATATGCATAGGTTCAGGGAAAACTATCCCTTTTGTTTGTAAATGCACATTCAGTCATTAGCAAGCAGTACGTCCATGTCCCCTGATGATGAGAGACTTGAATATTGATTGT